GCATGATTTTAGCTCCAACAACACAATGCCTATCGATCACTTGTCATCATACAACATTGTTTATAGTTGAAACACATTATCGATTCTAAAATTGATGCTCAACAACTCCATCATTTGTCAATGCTCACACTATCATTGTACGCCATCGACCCATTACCAATAAGGTTAATGTACACCATTGACACCAGCTTGAACTCCTAGCATCAAAACTAATATTGGAATTCTTGGTTGGTGGTCTTGTAACTTCAAAGGAGAACTACCAAATAAATCATACAAAATCTCTTTAAAAAAAATTCAATACTTTAAGGCTATTCAATCCTCCACCATGAAATTAAGTCTCCACATTATATGTCTACTATATTGTATGAATACCCTCTCCAATTATGGGGAATACCTCTATTTATAATCGTTGATAAGCATTAATAGAATCAATTCAATTGAGTCTAACTGCTTTCCCTTTTCCAGTTTGCCAAGCAAAAGTATTAAAATCTCTAGCAACTCCTTTTTTATCTATATGTAATCTAGATCCTCATGTAAATTCCTCTATAATTTTTGTTTTGTTTTTAGACCTTAATTTATACTCATTTCAATTTCTGTAATACTAATCTCTAATGAAATTTATAATATAATATACTAATTGATTAATTAATTATATATTATACAATTTTTCAAATAAATTAAATCAGTAAAAAATCTTCCTAACTCAATACATTGTTCCAAAATTTCTCCCTTTTTAAGTTTAGGTTAGAATAATATTTAATAAATGTTTTTAAATGAACAATCTTCCAGCTTAATGATATATTATAAGTAAATGTTTTTAAATAATAATTTGAATTAAGGAAAGTTACACGTAGGGTAGCAAAAAGTTTAAAGCTAAATAGTGCATAGAAGTACTTACTTTTTTATTTATTTCAAGCATGTTTTATTTTATATAAAATTTTAAGGTTGATAAAGTATTCAAAATTTAAATTATATGACACTATATATATGACACATTACTATATAGATCAAAGATATAAAGGTTCAAGTAATATGTGAGGTGAGTGAAATTAATTACAGATTTTATTGATGAATCATTGCCATTTTTTGTATTATATTCATTGTTTGACAAATATGCTTCTGTTACATTAATATCATTATTATAAGATGTTATTCCAATTTGACAATTCTTCAAAAACTTGTATCATATAATCAATTTGATTTGTTCTTCTCGTAAAAGACAAGATTGACAAGATCAATTAATTTTTTTTTCAAATAATTAAAATTATAGGAATGGTTGCATTTCATTAACTAGTGATTAAAAAATGTAACAGGGAAATACATTGGAGGTTATATTTGGGTTTTATCAGAAGTTTTCTTAGCATATATGATGATACTCATATTCATTTGCAAAACAATATTAAGGAAAAAACAAAAGTTTATTGATAATTTGAGTGACTCATTTTAATATTGGTATTGGTGCTGGAGCATCATTTGGTCATATCAGGAATACATCCCTTGCTTTAGTCTTGTTAATTTCTTAACAAAGTGATCTAAAGAAACTCAATATGTTCCACTACGTACTAGAGGTTTGCAACTAGATATCCTAGCAAACTAGGATCTCTACCCCATTGCTAGCTCAATTGGGTTGGTTGAATAGATTCCTCTCCTCATTCTACGAAGGATATTTTGAAGGAGTGGATTTTAGATCTTATTATGATTGAAGAAGGTAAGATTTGCTCCTCCATTGGGTCCCTACTACCCCTGTAGATTCACAAAACTCAAAAATAACATATGGGTATCTGTAGATTCACAAAACTCAAAAATAACATATGGGTATCCTAAGCCCACTGAAGTTAACCCTCTAAGCTTATATTAGATAGTTTTTTTTTAATTAATAGTAAATTATTTTTGCAAGGTTACAATAGTTAAGGACCATCCTATCCATGGACACCTCACTTATGCTTCTACTCATCATAAGCATTGTACAAATAAAATAGTGTCAGGCCATAGACTCCTAGGTTAAGGCAAATGCAAGAAAATTAATTATTTTGTCCTCTCTTTTCCCACTAGATGTTATGGTTTCTATAGGTTAAAAATCTAATGTATCTTCATAGTCTATAGCAAAGGTATAAAAGTTAAGGTTCTGATCTCCATAGAGTTGATAGTTAGGGATTTGGAACAATTGATTAATGGATCTAGGAGTGTAGGGAATCCCCTTACCACTAACAAAAAACACACTAATATATGCATTGATACTATCTCAACGATTATATATTTGCTCACTAGCTTATTATATCTCTTTTGCAGAAGAAATAATAAATGTTTGGTTGATTCAGATCTCTTCCTATATATATATATATATAATTTTTTGCACAAAAAATATAGATTTAGCTAGAACTTTTTATAACACTGTGTAATTTGGAGTTTCCGATTTTTCTACTTAGCACTAAGCTTTTCCCTATGATGTTTAATTAGAGATTCATATGTATTGATCGAGTTCAACATGAAAAGTTGCTTTTGTAGGTCTTCTCCCCTATAGCAACGTATCCTAAGAGGACTCACCTCTCAGCTTTTTTTCCCAATTAAGGCAATCTTTTTCCCTAGATTGCCCCATTTAAGCCATAGGAGGTAAACAACTAGATAAAACACTATCATGGCTTCATCAACTATGCTCATGCCCAACTCATAACCACATTTGTCCAAAGGACTCATCACTCGCTATAAGAGTTTTTCCACTTATCTTTCGCACTCATTTTAACATACTTTTCCATGATTCACATATTAAAGGACTCATCTAGGTTTCTTTCCCTCAAGGGCATTCCTAAGGCCTCGTTCCTAATTACATTCCTAGATATTCATCAAAATTATCTCAGAACACATGTCTGTATTAATTTGTACATATCAGATCATATATTATTCTTCTATGTTTTTGTATAGTCTTTCTTATAGCCCTCTTAACCCTATACATAGAGAGTTAAAATGTTAATTTTTGAGCTCATGCTATTTTTACTATTCACAATGATTTATTAGTTTCTCATATACTCTCCGTACTATATTATATTTCCCTAACTAACCTAACTTTTTAGTAAAGTCAGGTGTCTCCCAAAAATACATGTATATTTAATAGTAAGATGGGAGTTATCCATGTACTTTCCACTTCTTAAAATATTACTTTTATCTTGAAGTTATATGAAGAAACACAATATCTTACTCATTTGCTAATTAATTTCAATTTAATTAAGAATTAGGATTGAGATCTCCAATGGATGCTTTATCATTAAGTATAATCCATGGAACCACTTTCATCTGTAGCATGTACCTCCATAATATCATGTAGTTATACATGTTGCATTTCCACATTATCACCTTCTTACATGTGTGGTATTTCCACATGATCACCTACTTTAGTAAATGTTGTTGATTTGATTAATCTTGTATCATCATTTATATGAAAAATTGTAGTTGCAATCTTCTTGAGTAAAATAGATGCATATATAGAAGTCTAGTATCAAAAGGAGCAGGTTATCCTATTCATAAAAAGAAAGCTCATATTAAAAGAATTGAAATTATTTAATATGCTCCATTAAAGTAGTACATAACCTTCAATTTCAAGCAAAATTGTTTCTTACCAACTTTTGTCACTTTGATATATAAAATCTAAAAGATATTCAAGGAAAATTATTTTTTTATAATCAATCATCTGTTTTATTTTTTTTATAATCAATCATTTGCTTTATTTTTCAATGAATGCCAACTATTTTACCTTTTTTTTTCATTCTCTTCCATACAATATAACCATGTTGATATTTGATTCATTTTAGAAAATACTTCTTCATCATATAATTTAATGTTATTCAAACATTGTTTAAACCAAACCACTTTTGAATATGGTTCAAACATGTCTAACTATTTATCAAACCATTTTTTAATATTATTTGATCCATGTTTAACTATGCTCAAATGCAATATAAAATATTATTCAGGCCATATTATTCTTACGTGTGCACAAACTATGTTCCTATCTTTTTCAATTGATGATCAAATATGGTAGGAGTAATGATCGAATAAACATGGTTCAAAAAGTTGTGGGCATATCCTTGAATATGCTTGAACCATATTCATACATGGTTCAAATAAGTTCTTAGATAAGTATGAACACATATTTTTAATAAGAATAAAAATACATTCTCTAATACTCTATCTAAGTTTGTAGAGTTAATATAATGCAGGGGCGGGGAAGCCTCGGAGGGGCCTACGCATTAATATAAAAAGGAAAATACAAGGTCCAAAGAGGGACCTTCAGCTCACTAATGAATTGCTTGAAGAGCTACAAAATTAAATAAAGAAAAAAAAAACTACGAGCCGAAAGTCCCCTACACCCAAAATATAAAATTTCCTAGATACAATCTATGACGGCAAAGAGCAAGTGCCCAAAAAGAAAAGTTCTCAAAGTAATCAATCAGCACGGTCTTTCTGCAAAAAAGAATCAACAACATCACCTCAATTCTCGAACCTCCATACCTGCAAGAAGAAAAAACTTCAGCACAAAATGGAAATACAGCAAAAATATTGGAAATAAAACAGATAATAAAATAAATTTAAACCATAATATTTAATGTAGCCAGATAAGCTAGTGCAAATGTAGCAAAGAACTTTAACCGACATTCTTGGTTGTAGAATCATTCTATTTCCTTTTAACTCTTTGAACATTCTTATGCATATCTCGTAGCCCGGATTCTTGTTGGAGTTGCCAAACAAAGTTTCTAACTTCTTACCACTTTCAGTCTTGTCTGTACTTTTAGGGGAGAACAGAACGACATATTTTATAAACTTGGAAACAACTCCACTGTCTTACACACAAAAAAAATTAACATTGGAAGTTTTAGAATTCTCTTATGACTTTATGAACGTTACAACTAATGCTTCGTGTGTTGGTTCTTTCTTGATAACTTGATGTTTCCTCTTTATTTGCTTCCATGGGTAAAATGATAGAGATAATGACTCGTACATTCCTGCAGGATCTTTCTGGGGCCGCTACTATATTGGTCCGATGCAGCTCATACTTTGCTTGGCCTCCGTCGTAGGTGGCATCCTTCTTGCAGGCATAACCCTCAAGGTTCGAAGTTTAATTAGGAGTCCAATTATCGTAATAACATAAAAGCAAGAAGCAAGTCTCTTTAATTATCTTAGGACCATCTAGTTTAGGGTTAAATGTCAATACTACAATTATTGTGAAGAATGTAATTTTTTTTTTTAACTAGAGTAGAAAACAGTTTACTTATATAAAATTTTTCTGAAAGAAACACAAATTATGATTGTGATTGGAAAAGCAAAATACTAAGAAAACTATTCAAATGAAGTCTAAAGGCCCCTGCTTTTTATAAATGTTATTATAAAGTTGATATGGAGAAAGTAGCTTTTCTGAGAACTATTATAGAAAGTAGTTTCCTTGCTCAAATTTATTTTGAAAGTAATGAAAAAGTAGTAGCCGAACATAAGTTATGATTGTGTCTTAAAATCAAAACACTATGCAAGCTGTCCAAAAGAAGTCTAAGGCCTTGTTTGGGATGACTTTCTTATTGCTTTTTAAAGCTGCTTTTTAGTACAATTTTTTTTTACTTAAAAAGATTTTTATACTAAAAAACTGCTTCAAAAAGCAGTAAGAAAGTTGTTCCAAGGGAAGCCTAACTCTACAAGCAACCAAATGAGCTGTTTTTAGAAGTTATTTATTCATCTCTAAATCTATTTTTAAATGAGATACGATTGCTTAAAAAATATTAATGAAAAAATATAGCCAATTATCAGAATCTGTTAAAATTAATTTCCTTAACGCATTTACAATTAATTGTTATCATATAAAATAATTTATTTTAATCATTCATCCATGCACTTGATGCATCCCACAATAGCCAAAGAAAAGAAGCGTTTTGTAATATTACTGCACATTAAAATACATATTCAACCTTTACTATTTCCGTGTGTTTGATATTGCAGGCTATGTACTTAGCTGAGAAGCCACATGGAACAATGAAGCTCTATGAATTCATAGTGTTCGCAGGATTATTAATGTTGCTTCTTGCACAAATCCCATCCTTCCATTCCCTGAGGCACCTCAACCTCGTCTCCCTCATTCTCTGCCTTGTTTACAGTGCATGCGCTACAGCAAGCTCTATCTATATTGGTAAGTCAATTTATTTAACATAAGTTCATGATAGTTACTTATATTTCAATTTATTTATGTAAATTTGCTCGAAATGTCTGATTATATATATATCTAAATTTATCCTTAGAGACTATTACCCGATAGATCGATCTATGTTGAGGGATATATTTTTTTTATAATTAAGATAATTCAAGTGTTATGTCTTGAAAAATATGATCGCAAAACGTTTTGAAGTCTAGGATTAACAATAGTACAGTTATGTGGTTGGAAATATTTTTTGATAGCCCAAATATCCACACAATCACAAAATAGAGAGAAAAAGTCCACAAATTATCCAAAGCGATTTAGATATCATACCCATGCACAATTGATTATCAAGCTTAGGTTTGGTTGTTGATATATTATCGTGAAATTATCTTGATTGGGCACGAATCTCGATGCAAAACCCAAATCGGAAACTTCAAAAATTAAATTCGGAAGCACCTGAACTCCAATTTCAGCAAACTTACAGTCAAACTGAGCGTCTCGGAAATACGAACCCAACAACACCAAATTCAACCCAATCCGAGCCCAAACGGGTCCGAATCAAGGACCCGAAGCGCTGTTGGAAGGTTCAAACAGCAATTTGAGCTACCAAACGGTCTCCGATTTTAACGAGCTTATACTCAAATCGAGCGGTTCGACGAGACAAATCCAATGAGCCTAAGATCACTGAATTACAACATCATTAAGGCCTTCAAATATCCAACGAACGGTGGATGATCAAAGGATTCGATATCGGCCGTCCATTCAAACCACTCCCAATTCGCCCATGATCTCACGCCTATTTACGGGCTATGCCACTCCAGAAAAATTATAAATAGAGCCCTCATTCTACACCAAAGGGACTCAAGTGAAGAGAGAGAAGAAGAAGATAAGAAGGAGTAGAAGGAAGAAGCTCATCCTCGACCACCGCCGGAGCTCTTCGATCCTGCCGCTCGAACACGCCGGGATTCTGCGTGATATTCGAGAGAATGCAGGAATTCTTCTCAACTTCCACGTGATGCTAAAATTCTTCCTAATTTGCAACAGAGTTCCCTCCTGACGCCGAAACTCCGCCCAAGTGAAGCCGGAGTTCTCCTCTGCCACCTACAGACGCCGGACTTCTACCCGACGTCGGACCTTCACTCTTCGCCAAGTTTCTACCTGATGCCGGACTTCTACCAGTTATCGGACTTCGCTGGACGTCTATGCAAAGATGGATTTCTTTCCTTTGTTGAACTTCCACCTGACGTCGTCCTTCTGATCTTCGTCATCAGACAACAGTTCTTTCGACATCCGTCACCCACCGACTACAGTCTTTCTGACTTATGTCGCCCGCCGACTACAGTCTTTCTGACCTCCGTCGCCCGCCGACTACAGGTCCTCCTGACATCCCTCACCCACCGACTACAGGTCTTTCCAACCTTCGTCGCCCGCCGACTACGATCCTCCCGATCAAATGAACATGCCAATAGTGATTCTTTGTATTCACATCATGTAATGTACTCTATAAAATGTACATCAAGCTAAGGCCTTCTCCCAAGGAAGGGCCTCATTTGTAATCGACTGCAATACTAGTGGATTCATTCAAACTAGGCTAGGCCCTGTGGTTTTCCCCCCTTTTTAGGGGTTTTCCACGTAAAAATTCTGGTGTCTCATAAATGCTAGACCCTCTCTCCTTATCTGATTGCGTGCCAGATTTTCGTACAATGCTAAGATGATAAACTTTATATTTCTCTACCATCGCGAATACTCCTGGACGCAACAGTTGTAATCATATTCTTAAAAATAATTATAGAAAAGAGAATCAAATTGGTAGATTTTTTTTTGAAAGAAGATGCAACTTGCATTAAATAAAAACCACCTAGTTACAAACTACTAAAAGATAAGCAACCTACCACATTTCTCCTTTAACAAAGAAATAAAAGGAGGAATATTATTATCACTAAGAACATCCCAAATAAAATCATTAGACAGCTAAATTAGCAAAACAATCAGCTAACTTATTATAACTGCAATTGATAAATTGAAATAAAACATTATTGAACCCTTTTAAAAAAAACCAAATCCTCCACCTCATGGCACCCACTCAATCTATCTGATTTTCCATACAACCTCTTGGACATAAATTATTATCCATTAATCTTCTATGCATTAGAAAACCAGTAGAAGGAATAGCATTATTGAGTAGACACTATAAGAAAAGCTCCACCCAAGGATTAAGCTTCAATTTCCGTGACCAATAATTCACATCCCTGTCATCATCAAACAAAGTGTTTGAAATAAGAACCGAAATGGTTTTCCAGCCATTTTAAATTTCACCTCCATCCTATCATTAACCAAATTTGGACAAATTTTAATTTGATTGATCATATCCACAAAATCTTCACCAAAATATAGCTTTAGTCGAGCTATGTTCCAGGTCCCATAAAAATAAATGAATCCAGGGTCATGTTAACATCTTTCAATTCTGCAACAAATGTAGGCCACTTATCAATGCTTTGATCAAGAGTCCACACATCCTTAAGGACATTAATAGTAGACCCTATTGAAATTTCCCATCTTAAAATTTTACTGACAGAGCTCCACCCATCTAGAATAATTTTCCATGAAACAGAGCTTTTCATCTTCACCTCACAATTCCACCAATTCTCACCATATTTCACCAACAAATTTCTATTAAGAAGAGTATCTGGTTTGTTCATCAGGTTCCAAGTAAATTTTGCTCTTAAAATACCCAACTTTGACACAGCCAAATATAGTCCACATCCCCCATCTTCTTTGATTTGCATAAAACATTCCAAGCCTCATAATGAAGACCATGGCCACCATTATGTTTATCCCAAATATAGTTTATGTAGATTTTATCAAACTCCTTCAATAAACTCAAAAAGATTAATATATGTGTTGAGTGAAATAATGGAAAAGTAAGAAAAACAGATTTAACCAGGATCATCCTCCCTGCTTGAGAAATATACATATTCCCCTAGGCATTCGATACCTTTAAAGATTTATCCATCAAATGTTAAAAATCTAATTTAACCAACCTCCTTAATGCTAATTTTACGCCCAGATACTTTAAAACCAAACAATTTTGCAATATGTTTACTTCTCCTTTTATTGATAGATTTGCCAAACATCAAAGAAGATTTCTGGCAATTTATTTTTTGACAAGACCAATTGCAATAGTCCATAAGAATCTTCATCATCTTCTTAACATTTTTTATTTTAGCCTCCAAAAATAGTAAAATATCATTTACATACAATAAATGAGAAATCTTTTGTGCATTTGAAGAGATATTGATTACCAGTCACATGCCCTTATGACTAAAAGCATTGGAAAGGAGTTGAGAGCACATAATGAATAACAAGGGAGAAAGAGGGCATTCTTGCCGAAACCCGTTCTTTCCCTCGATCCACCTAGAGTTACATCCATTGATCATAATAGAGAACCTTGGATTAACGACACATTCCATCAACAACCTAGAGAATTTGATAGAAAAATTAACCAAAGTCATCCAACACCTATTATAGTGTAGACCAACACACACTATGCTACGCTTGCTCCATATTTATCTTGATAGCCATGAGGCCTTTCTTGGATTTAGAACACTTGATTTTATTAAACACTTGTTGAGCCAAAAGAATGTGATCTAAAATTAATCTACCATTGACAAAAGCCACCTAATCTTCAGATATAATTTTTGGAATCACCCACAGAAGTCTTTTTAAAAAAACTTTTGTCACAATCTTGTATATAGATTTATAAAGATTGATTGGACGATAGTTAGAAGGAGACAAATGATTTTGGACCTTTGGAATCAAAACAATAAGTGTTTCTTTCCATTCATGACAAAGCTTACCATAAGAAAATAAATAATTAATTACATTGCAAACATCATCTCCAATTATATTCCAATAAGCTTTAATAAAGGAATAAGTAATTCTATCACAACCCAGAGATTTATTTTCTCCAAAATTCTTAATAACCTTAATACTAGAGAATTTTGCCTCTAGTTTTCTCCTGTCTTAGTCATCTATCACCTTACAAGGAGCTGACCATTTCTTCAGACGACACTCCCTATCCCTCTAATTGTCTTGAAAATAATTGAGAAATACATTTTCAATTCCATTTTGTTCTTCAATCATAATACCATTTACATCTTTCACTTGAGTAATCTAATTCCCATGTCTTCTTGCATTAACAAAAAGCATGAAAAACTTTGAATTGAAATCCCCCTCTTCTATCCATCTTACCTTAGCCCTTTGCCTCCACCATGTATTCAACCACGCAAGATACACATTTAGTTTGCAAACTTTAGATCTCAAAAGCCACATTTTTTCTTCACATAACCACCTGATATCAGACTCCTCCAAGGCTCCAATTGTAGTTGCAACACCTCCTCCTTAAGGCTCTCTTTTAAATACAAAAAATTCTTAAGTTTAGCTTTACACCAAAAGAATAGATCCTTCAGAGCTCTTTTACATTTTTTACTAAGAATTTGGATATCATCCTCATCATAAGATTTATTTCAAGATCTAGAAACAATGAGAGAAGAAGCATGATAAGAAGCCCAAACATCTTCAAATTTCATAATTCCTTTCTTCTTAGTAGCGGAATCGAATATCCTCAACACAATAGGATATTGGTCCAAAGCCACTCTAACAATATGTTTCACTACAACAACCTAAATTTTTTCAAAATAAGGGATAAACAAGCTTGAGAACCTCATCACCATAAATCAAAATTGTAAGCACCCTTAAAAATGGAAGGGGTAAAGGAAGAAATATTTTCACCTGAGGATGAACTACCGAAAATAACATCTTTAAAAGAGTGAGCGGGAGCAATTTTACCTTCTTTTTTAAGGTTAAAAATGCCCTGATTCTTAGTAAAAATTTGTGCTACAGATTTCCCCTTGCTAGGGTTAGCTGCAGTTGGCGCCTCCATTGAAACAACCCAATCTATCACCACGAAAATCACATATCGAGTATCCCCACAGGAAGATCCAATACTTAGAGCAAAAACAACAGAAGAAAGCGGACGAGATCGCTGAGAAGGAGAAAACCCTAGAATCGCCAGAGTTGTCGGAGAGGAAAGAATGATGAGAAATTAAAATGTTTTTGAAACCTAACTTATTGTTCAATTTATCTTAATAGTCTTATTTTGTTTAAAAACTACAAATAAGCTGGCCTTAAATTGATTTACAAAACATAATTAAAATTTTTAAAAACTTTTAAAAATAGATTTTAAATGTATAAAAACAAATTTAAAACCTATATAAATAGATCATAATTTCTTCAAAATACTTTGTAAAAATCTCATATACCCTATTCTATTTTCACATCCTAATGCCCGAGAAATATATACAAAAAACACGTAGGAAACAAAATACAACAGTTAATTTACGGCGTCTAAATTTTCTGACTGCTTTCCGACGGCCAACACAGTTGGTAATTTTCGGTGGTCATAGAGCCAGCGACTATCAGTTAATTACTGGCGGCGTATCGGCCATCTCAAACGACAGTTTTGATGTAAAATTTTGGCTGTTAAAATAAGTCATTCGGTATTGATGTATCTAGCGCCAGTAGATCCTCCTTATTCTTTATATAATTCTCCATCAAACACACTCAAAAAATATATAGCTTCCATAGTATACCTACCTTGCATGAATCTGAATTGATTTGGCGAAACATTAGCATCACGCTGCAACCTATGCTTCATAACTCTCTCCCATAGTTTTAAAGTATGACACATTAACATAATTCTTCTACAATTCACACAATCTTGTTTGTTACCTTTATTCTTAAAAATATGAACCAACACACTCATTCTTCACGCGTCTAACAACTTTTAATCTTCAAAATAATATTAAAAAGTTTAGTAAGAGGAAAAATTCAAACCTTCGTGGCGTTCGGCTTAGCTGGAGTGATGAAGGGCGTCGACGGGCAGGGCAAGAAATTTCGACGATAGAGTGGGTGTGATCGGCGGCCGAAGTGAGGGCGTGATCGTCGGCCAGAGTTACGGTGCCGGCGGCCGGATTCCTGCGGAGTCAGTCAGAGGCGAGCGCGAGCGCGAGCGGAGTGGAGTTTGGAGGAAAAAGATACGCGAACAAATGAGGAGGAAGGGTCGGCTTGGCCAATTTTAGATCAATTTCTGGCGGTTATCCAGTGGTTTCTACCGCTGGAAAAAAATAGTTAACACCGGCGGCCAAGCCGCCGGTAAAGGCAACACTAAAATAGAAAACCGTCGGCCTACCTGAGGGTTACCGCAGGCATTTTCGGCGGTTTATTATTAAACACTACTGGATAAACTGTCGGTAAATACCGGAGGTCAAACAGCCGATTAAACCGCCGGTACTTTCGACGGTTATTTGACCGCCAGAATTACCGCCGATAATTGTTGATTTACCTATAGTGAGCCCTCCAGCGTGCCCCACAAAACTAGCAAGCGAGAAAAAGCTCCCATGGCAATCGAATAGAATTCTCACTTCACTATGAGTGCACTTGTATAATTACCCATCGATCTTCTTTCCCTCAATGCTTCAAGTAGAAACTAAAGCTCTTCACTTTTGTGTTAAAGATGACTTGTTTTTCACTTAAGTATGAATGGCTAGATTCTTCGGTCCTGGTTTTGTGTTATTGAATGAAGAAGAAAGCTAAATGTTATCTATAGTGGCACAGCTTCAATGGCTCATCTATTCTTTTGTGCTGCTGCTTTTTGTTGAAAAATAAAATAATATTACATGTAAACAATAAAGTTGGGAAATGGATCTTAGCAAATGAATCTTTGGATCAACCCGTGTATCCTCACCAACCCATGGTAAGCAACAAAATTTAGCCATCTTCGTCGAATGCCGAAGATCCATCTCGGACTACCATTTTGCAAGGAGGTGGTAAAGTACAATTACATTATTACAGTATCTGCCTACAATTACACAACTGCACTATCATTCCAACTATTCAATGCTAACTGCATGGGATCAGATCTACCATTGATTCGTTGTGCTTGTAACTGCACTTTTACATTTAGAATTGCTAATATCTATTGCATAAAACTATTATATTTTCATAATTTTGTTCTATTTTTAATTAATGAAAAAAGTTGATAAAGTTGAAATGCTTGAGTAAATATTTTAGTATTTTTGTAATTATCCTTAAAAAAATAGGTTTATGAAATGCAGGGTACTCCTCTCGTGCTCCAATGAGAGACTACTCCATTCCTGGCTCGGGTAAAGACCAGCTTTTTGGCATATTTACTGCAATATCTATAATTGGTACAACTTATGGCAGCGGGATTATACCAGAAATTCAGGTAAACACAAAATCTCTCCCGCTTTCATTTTCTACGTATTTACGGAATAATCTCTCTCTCTCCCTCCCTATTCCCAATCATACTCTCTTTCTTTGTTATAGGAATCCAAAAGTTAGTTAATCCTATTTTATTCAAAATTCTTTTAAAAGAAGCAAAGTCTGCAACACTATCAAAGATCTTTCTCGATCGTACAAGCACCTAAACTCTTATATTATCATAGATGACAATCCCTCATCTCTCTCTCTCTCCCTCTTGTTTCTATTCGTTTGTAGCAGTGAGATTTGAAATCTTTTATTCGCTCTATATTTAGTGATAATGAAGAATGAATTTGGAGATATAAATTTATCCCAATCACTCTCAGTATCTGCCAATAATAATAAAAAAGAACACAATTATTAATAGTTTAAAGTTCTTAATAATTTAAAACATGTTTTAAGCCATCTTTTTTATATGCTTCTGTTGACCACCAAAAAGATTGACAAACAAAAGAATATCCTAGCATTTGACTTGCTCTTGATCAGCTTATACATTCGATGGTGGATAGAAGTAGCATTTAGTTTTGACGCTTATTTAGATGGCTAATTCTGCCTCAAAACCCACATTTCCAAATGTACGAAAAATTTAGATTTTTACTTCTATAATATTTTAAAACTTATACTGCAGGCAACTGTTGCTCCGCCAGTAAAAGGCAAAATGTTTAAGGGACTCTGCCTCTGCTATGTGGTGGTGATCAGCACCTTCTTTAGTGTTGCTATAGCAGGATATTGGGCATTTGGAAACCAAGCACAAAGCAACATCCTTTCAAACTTCTTCGCTTCTGATGGCAGTGTCCTTGTTCCTAAGTCGCTCTACATGATGATCAACTTCTTCTGTATCGTTCAAATTTTTGCTGTCTCAGTGGTAAAAATTACACGTGTGGAACACAAATATAAGTCTAGACTTTTTAATTTTCAATTAAAACTTTATCCTAATTTTAATACAAATACATATATTTCTATTTATGCAGGTCTACCTACAACCAACCAATGAAGTGCTCGAGCAGCTCCTCGCCGACCCAAAAAAACATCAATACTCTCCACGCAATGTGATTCCAAGAACCATTTCTCGCTCATTAGTTGTCGCCTTTAGTACCCTCATTGCTGCCATGATTCCATTCTTTGGGGATCTCACTGCATTGATAGGAGCATTCGCAATCTTGCCAATGGACTTTATGATACCAGCTATTATGTATAACATCACATTTGGATCATCTGTGAGGAAGGCAATTTACTGGGTCAACATGGTCATCATCACAGTCTTTTCGGGGTTGACTGTGCTCGGCTGCATTTCCTCTGTGAGGCAAATAGCACTCGATGCAAAGAGTTACAAGTTATTTGCCAATCTGTGAGTGAGGATCTAATTTGTATGCAATTTTTTTTTTGTCGAAAGTACGATATAAATAAAAATCTTAAAGGGAAAATCTTCATAGATTTTTCTATAAATTTTAACTTTGAATATTCATGATGATAATAAAGCTTATTATTTTAACTTTGAATAAAATCATAAGAGGCATGAGGCATTTGTGAGAAATGTGATAAGGGAAACATTTATGAAACTTGAGCCATTTAAAATGATTTTATTAGTGTGAGTCATACATTACAATGAATTCGTATCCTATATTATGAGAATGAATATAAAACAATTTTGCAAAAAATGATTTTTCTAGTTGAGTGTAAGACAACAAGCCTTGATAGTGTTGGTTCTCTATATAGTGGGGAGGTCAAGAAACCCAAAAGATGAGCATTAGATAACGACTAATTTATATTAAACATTGGCCCTTAGTATCTTTGGGTAGTGTAAATTAATCCTTCCCTTATCTGCAAGGAGAATCGATGATCAAGAAAGCTAGCTTAATAAATCATTAATTAGCTCACAATAATTGATGCTAATAAGAGTGTAAATGAGACAAGTCAAACTTCAGTCATGCCTATGTTGAGCTCAACTCTTTGAGTAAATTTCTAGCTCGAATTTGACGTTGAGCTCGAGCATGGTCATGGTAATAATGGTGGGCTTGTGAGCTAGTTCATGAGGTGAAGACAAAACACAGTAGTTATGCAAAGAAGTCATCAATGTGATCAGCATAATATGAAGAAGGTGCAGTTCATGAAGCATGATGGGGCTTATAGCCTTCTTTTTTTAGATAATAAGCATCCAATTTATCTTATTTTTCAAATCCGACAACTCTTCGTAAAAATGTCTAATAGATTGTTGCCAATAAAGCCTACAATCCATTAAGAAAATGAAAACTTTCTAGATATAGGTTACTGCAATCGTATTGTCATAGTAATGTAAAGACTGCTGGCACCAACCCATTAATTATCCCACTAAATTAATTGTTGGAAAAATGAGCTAGCTCGTGAGCCATGCTTCATCAAATTTAAACTTGAGCTCATTTAACATATGAGCTCAAGTTTAAGCTCTAGCTTGAGGTCATGGCTCAATAAACTTGACTCATAAGCTTGTTAACATTTGAGTTTGAATTAGCTGACGAGCTGACTAGTCTCACTTACACCCCTACATGATGATAAGAACCCTTGATTTTGGTCAATGAATGGATGTTGGCTCCAATAAATGTATGGGTATCATAATCAATTTGCAAATAGTTGTTAGAATCAATTGCTGGCTAGGCTTTAGCATCAATCATTGGATTGAAAATGGTGTAAGTTAAATGCAAACATTTAGCAGTGGTGATTGCAGGCATTGGCATCAGTAGACGAAGAATGCTGAATGCTTAAGTGTTAATAATCTAAGCTCTAGAATTCTCCAATTTATGAATTCTCTTCACAAGCATCTTCTTTAGTATCTCATCTAAATATGTGGAAGCAATGCCTATTTATAATTTTCTAAATATTTTAGCTAAAAAAAGGACAATCTATCATATGATTGAGTTTATCCACTTGATTATTATTTAGTACTTTTCAGGCATCTTAAGGCACTAATAGTCTCAGAATCAAATGATTATGGGCTTACCAAGACAATTTTTTATTATAATCATGAAAGATTTGAAGAAATTTGACCCTAAAAAAGGCTTGATAAGTTTCTAGTTATACTTTCCAGATCTTTATTTTGATGAATTTTGAGTCCAATAAAGGTAGTTATTGTTAAGTTTATCTTATCAATACATCCATTTCAATAATAATAATATAAAATGGGAGTTTTGATAATCTCTTAATAAAAATTTTGAGTATTATAGTTAAAATATATGGGTGCTCTAAAAATGATAACATGCAGTAGGATTTGCACTTGACATAAGAACTCTTTTGCTGGCAATTTGGTTGCCCCACTATTTATGGCACCAAAATTTGTGTCTAAAAATTTTTGAGTTTTAAAAATTATTAGAAGCTAAGTAAAATCATAATTTAAAGAAAATAAATGTGCGATCACTCCTTGGACATTAATCATGATCTCCCTTTGTGGGCTCCGAAAATTCGGCCCCGACCTCTGCCCGATTGTGTTTTTTTTTTCGAGGGAGTTTTAACTGATTAAGTTCCAGGAAAAATTTTGGAAGGCAGATGAATTTGTAGATAAGACACTACTCAGAGATTTTGTCCTCATTTGCGAGGACTTTATGATCTGAGTTCTGGTTTCCTATAGGCGTAAGCCCCTATTGTTAATTACCCCTCCCGATAATGAGAGAGAACTTTCGATTAAGGCTAGTCATCAATCAGATACGTAGAGATACGTGTTATCTGACATATAGTAGCAGCATGGGCATTAAGGATTTGGAAATTTGGAAATTTTGATATTTGAAATAGAAATTTCACCACCTTACACTTAAATTGAATAATGGGGGAATGGATGATAGATCCGATCAAGATCCTATGGTTCCGTCGTCCAGGCCATCGTGGTCCTTAGTTTACTTTGTCAAAGGAGGTAGTTGACCCAACCTAATAGAAGGATCCTTGTCGACAGCCATGGGTTACTTCGTCTAAGTCACCTTGTATACTTGGGTTAGATGCTTATCTAAGGGGATAAATTTGAATCTACCTTAACTAATAGAGGGCTTTATGCCTTATCGATTATATCTTATTGATTCATATCTCAAGGATTTGATGTCACTAAGTAACGTATTGGCTCTGGCCATAACCATTATTTTGTGGTGCCATTTAGCGACAAAACCATTCGGTTCAGAGGGCCCCATATCATAACTGTTTATCATGCATTGCCATTTAGCAGCAAAACTGCCGGTTAGAGGACACGTACTATGTCCTTATTAACAGGAGATTATTTGAGAATAGATCTTAGTAATATTTTTGACTAGGCATTAGCTTTATGTGAGCTGAAGTAAATTTTAAATTATCCACTTCAGCAAATTATTATTGAGAGTGGATGGATTTCTCTTTAAGTGGTTTAATGGATTATTTCAATTTTAAATATTTAGATTTTGGGAACCCATCCGGTTGAGATCTTTATTCAATGCGACCATCATCAGGGCGATTTTGAAGTCACTTGAAAATATTTGAATTTTGTGAAAGTTTGAGGGCATTTTTAAAGTGTTTGTAAACCTTGTCGACTCTGTCGAGTTATCGACAAAGGATCAGGTTCCATAGGCTTTATGCCTATATTAGTTAATTCTCTTAATTATAGGCCTTGAAAGCCTAATATGAATATATTAAAATAAATATACATGTACCCATCATCGTATTTTTATTTGATGGTTCAAACCCTGTTGATTCATATTGATCCGCATATAAGGACCAGGTTTGAACTTGAATTCAATTATTAACCCGTGCAACATCCCTAAATGTCACGTGTGTATCAATAGAATGCTTGTCGGGGCCCATGCAGGTGTTTGAGGTGATTTTGTAATTATTTACTAAACCTTATCAACTCCTATTTACTTGCTTAGGAGGATTGGGTTCAAATTTATTGACCCACGCAGCATCTCTAGATGTCATGTGTGTATCCAAAATATGCTCGCTAGGTCCCATACGAGTATTATATTTATCCTTTTAGTATACCTATATGCATACAAATTACGGTTCATGTGCAGGGGTATTCTTAGAATATTTGTAGATGCATTCTGTCCACTTGTATGAATGTTGCGGATCTGGTGGCGTGGCTTAGCAGCTTCTAAATTAAATTGTTCGTTGATTTTTATAGGTAGACTATCATGCACTATTTACATGATTTATGCAGGTAGATTGTAGTGAACTAACTAATCTCCTACATTGGGTTGTAGAGACCTGCATTTATTATATATCATTCACCCTTTGCTCGTAGATGGCACTTTGCATACACACGAGGCTTCTTACGATGGCTTGTAGGATTTCTGGATTACATGTGACGCTCGTCACTAGTCACCAATTATATATATGCTATTGTGCGTATATAAACCCTTCATTATTGCCAATAAGTATTCACGTTCATTTACACGTTGATTTCTGTTTGCTTGCGAAGGACCCCCTATCCTTATAATACATTTATTGTTATTGCTTGTAGGCAAATTATTATATCCGTTGGCATGCCTACATTATTCTTTGCTTGAGCTGCATTTTCCATCCATCTTTCCACATATGTTGATTGATGATTTATTTCCTTTTTCATTAGTTTCTTTATTATATTGATTGAATGAATCTTTTATATTTGCTTGTGCCCATTTCAGTATTCATTGGGAATTCAATATATTCAGATTTTCTTGTTGGTTGTCATCCCTTGCATGTGAGGAGTCTCTTATTTATTCATTGCTACTTGTATTTAGATTCATATGTTGGTACCGTCAATCATTAGTTAAAACTCTTATATTGTTGATTGGGAATATATCATGTCCCAAGTTCTTGATCGTGTATAGGCACTTGCATTTTTACATACATCTTGTTCTTCGTAAGCAAATGAACAGTTGACCTAACATGGCAATTCTTCAAAGTTGATTAAAAATCTCGCATCATTGATTTCAGTCGTGTGGTTCTACTTTCATCTAACTATTCCCTGTGAGCGAATGATACTATGTTTTACAAACCTTTCATTATCTTTGGACACAACTTGTAGTTTGATGGCTCCATACGATTATTTGCTCCAAAGTTCTCATATGATGGCTTTGTAACCAAGCCATACCCTTTCACCATTTTCTCTTCTTTTTTTTTTATCAACATCTCCATTTCAATTGCGATGATAATTGCAAGTTATTTGTTATCTTTCCAAAAATTCCATGAAGAAAGGTTTGTAACCAACTCATGCATGAGACCCTTTCTTATTTGCTTGTCTTTGATTTGAATAATTACACATTCAATTAAGCTCAAGTTTATGTTATTCTTAATCAAGTTCGAGTCCAAAGAAAGTCCTCCATATGTTCAAATAAAGTTCAAGCCCAATATGAGCCTCTTTGATTCGAGTCCCCTATTGTTCTTT